ATTGTGTGTTCATTCAGCCTTCAGTGAAAACAGAATTGACTGCATTAAAAGCAGATAATTTTGGGAAGACTGATCATGTTTGTATCTCTATGTTAGAAGTAAAGAAATAATTCTTAAGCAGTATGGATGTTTTCTAGAAGTAAAATTTGATTGTGAATCTGTACTTGCTGGAAGAGTTCTTGGATGCTTGTTCTCCAGGTCATGGATGAATATACACAGTTCATTCAATGCCGTGTGTACACCCTCAGACTCATTTATTTTATTTAACAGAACAGGTCTATCCATGTGATATGAAGTTTCTTTGAAGTGATGCTCATCTTTTGGCACAAGTTGTCCTTCTGTATTTATCTAATTATTTTCAATATCACTTTGAAACTGTCTTTGTGTTTATTTGTTTGTTAATTATGTTTTCTGCTACTGATGTAAGGTACAAACATAGCAGCTTACAAGTCCCTGAGAGAGCAGGAGTGATATGACCTGTCACTGGATGCCTTGTTTAATCATGCCAATTTTTAATATGCAGTCTTTGATCACTTTCATGATTCATTTAGCATTTTTTATAGAAAAGTAATTCTGATTCAACAGATCTCCAGCTGTCCTTAATTTTAATTCTGTTATCAAACTGAAATAGTTATTTGTCTGGAAAATGTTTATTCTCTTTAACATAGCTCTTGAATTATAGCTCTTGAATTAAAAAACAAAACCACAACCAACAACAACAACAAACACAAAAAACCAGCCCAAACCAGCAAATAAACCCTCAAAAACAAAACCCAAAACCCCAAATCCTGCCTTTAATGATATTTCTAATTGTGTGTGTAACATTTCAAGTAATCACAATAAGGTATGGTTTTACTTCCCTCTGTTTTCACAGGACCATAGACAATAGACATGGAAAAGATCTTGAAAGGTCTTTTACCAAAGCACAGTTATCTGCCTAAACCAGTCCTGGCATATGTTTTTCTGATCTGTTTTTAAAAAGTCCAAGAATGAAAGTTACTTTACCTCTCTTAACATTTTTCCTCAGTGTGTATGACCAGACCCTACTAGACAATGGTATTCTCATGTCTAACCTACATCTCCTTAGATGTAGTTTATATCCAGAATTTAACTCCAAGTAGACTTAGAAGACATTTAGTCCCGATTTTCTTGGGGTGGTTGTTTACAGTATTTAAGGACTGTTTTCCAGCTACTCTCATCCAACCACAGGGAAATTATTCTGTGAACTTGATTGGATAGTGGATTTTAGAGCACTCTGCAGGCTTCTTTGGTTGCATCTATAGGTAGACCTATCCCTGGCCCTGGGTCTGTCTACTGCCTTGGACCTACGAGTTGTTCCACATATTTTTAGTGATAAACATACAGATTTCTGTGCTTAATGTGGTATAACATCACCCACTGAAGGGAGAAGGATGAAGAAAACAACGTGACAAAGGAATTTGCAAAATACGGTGCATAAGAAGCATCACAGTAAACAGAACAGAGAAATCTCATGGGGCCTTAGAGGTTAAAAAAAAAATATTTGAATGATACAGCTACTGAGTAGCGTGTCAGAACTGTACAAAAGCTTACAACCTAAGAAGTGGAGATAAAGTAGATGGAGAATACTGGTACTTGGGAATCACAGTCTATTGTTGTGATCTTTGCAAAAACAGAAAGAGAGAAAAGTGCAAATGGCAAGAGCATGGATAGCTGGGCCAGTAAAACATGGAACAGAGCAGGCATGGCAGACTTGATAGGACAAAAGTAAAGTAGTGAAGGTGAGAGAAGGGATGTCTATGGAGGAATGAGCATGCCACAGAGGAAACTGCATGGCTGCTATGGCAAATTGGGAAAAGGACTCTTCCTTGGGACATCTGGAAGGGCGTGGACTCTCATTTGAACTTGGAAATGAAAGGAAAGTACAAGAGCTGAAACACTGAATATATACAAAAATAAAGCCTGGAGATAAACAAAAATCTCCATAGAGACAGTAAGGAATGTTTCAAATCCTGAAGATCTCTAACATCAGTAAAGAAGGTCTTTATAAATGACTTTGAATAAATTGTATGTGAATTGTATAATTATAGAAAAATTAGATGATCAGTGGGACTTTGAGTAGCCTGCAGAATGTGGAGAGAGAAAGCAGGAGGGCCAGCAAGAAGGCAATTGCAGTAGTCCAAGCGTGAAATCATAAAAGAATAAATGCTTTCCTTATAGAATCTGCTGAGGTTACAGCCTGGGGTTGTATCCGTGTCCGTGAATTAGATAAAGCAATAAAAACTTGCATTCCCTCCATCAAGGTATTTCTTTTTTTTCTCAGATATCCTTTCTAGTTAACTCTTCAGTGACAGTAAGTTCTGTCTAGCAATATTGGCTGACGTCTCCTCTTAATGTGCTTCTCATCTGTTCTACCCAGTGGGTAGTTGGGATGAAGGGTTGGATTTGGCACACTGGCAACTCATTCCCTGTATTTGTCAATCAATTTCTTCTTCTTCTTCTTTTTAAATTCCTCTTTTGGTATAGGAATAGTACAAGATTGACATGACCATTTAGCTTTGTTTTAGCTTGATTTTCAGCAGTCTGTGTCATCCAGGAGTTTGAAACATAAGTTTAAGAATTGGGTATGAAATTTGCAGTTTTTCTTAGATTGTCAATTACTTTTCCCAGAGGATTATGTCAGAAAATACTGGGCAGGATTGTTGCAAGGTAGTATAACTGAAGGACTGCTTTGCTTCTTGAAGGAAAAGAAATCACTGTGAAAGGAAAATAGCTGTAAGGCTGAACTGGAAATCTGAAGTGTAAATTCTGAATGGAAGGAACAAAGTTCAAGGCAGTGCAAGGGCAATTGCACTTGCTAAAACCAGGATCTGTTAAGGTCTTGCCTCAGCAAAGCTGGCATCCAGCAGTCTGAGCAGACAAACTTCTTTATTGATAAGTCACTGCCAAGAGAAAAGTGAACTCTCATTTGAGGCAGTAAACTTCTGCAGTCCAACCCCTCCTTTCTTCTCCTGACCCCTACAGTCTGCCCAAAATGAATCTTCCTGTCCTTGTGCACTACACATTTTGGCTCTTTGCACCTTGCTTCTTGATGACTTGGCTGCTCCTACCCTACACTGGCAGAGGAGACCCACAGCCGTGCCTGTCCCCAGCTCTCACCTCTGCCACCATGAGCCACCTTCGCAACCACTGCCACCCCTGGAGTTTTGTCTGTGGAACTGTATAACTGTTTTATTATAATAATGTAGATAATAATTTTGCTGAAAGCTCCTGGCTTCACAGGTGGTTAAGGGTTTTCAAAAGGTTTTCACACAAAACCCCTCAACTCTTCCTTTATTCTATTTGATTCTGCTTCATTTCCATCCTTATTATCGGATAGTCATGGGAACTTTCCTTACACTGCAAAAGAAGTGAATTTAGTACAGAATGTGGTGTGGTGTAGTGTAGTGTGGGCTACCAAGCTTCATGTTGTCCTGGTTTAAGGCAGGGGATGAAATATTCTGTACATTTAAGAGGCTTTTAAAAGAACCTTTTGGGAGCAGTTGCTGTATTTTGCTGGCAATTCTACCAGACTTTCTACTTCCGAGTAATTTTTGAGTACAACAAAAAAGAGAACTACTCATGGGATGCTAAACAAAAATCTACTTCAGTACATAGTTCAGCATGAAAGTCTTTAAAAACAGCATTGAGCTGTCATTGATAGAAAACTTCACTTACGTTCTTTTGTGTTGAGATGCGTCACACATGCAAAAGTACTTTAAATTTAATTGCATTATTAGTGTTTAATAACCATCTTCTGTTCTTATTAAGAATCTTTCCATTGTATTATTTTACTTCTATTCATTTTTATTTTTGTTTTAATCTAAGTGCCTCAGTCACATCATGCATGTTTCCTAAAGTGTGACTGCCACGCTTTGGTGAGTATTCAGTGTTGCTCTGTTACTCACATTTTCTTCAGTCTTACTGGATTCTTAAGAATTTGTTTTATTTCTCTCTTAGAATTCTACAAAGTAGTTCTCTTGCTTTATTTTGGTTTTTTAAAGCAAATTCATCCCAAACTCATATTCTCTTGACATTTTGGTAGCTTTATTTAATATTCACTCCATTGCCTTAGTATTTTTCCAGTAATAAGGTGACCAGAACTGGATACAGTATCCCAGTTAAGTACCAAGGTCATAAAGAGTTTACAAGCTTTCAGTTTCTGTGACTAGATGTTATTTCTTATACCATCCCAATGTCTGCCCTTATTCTGCCATATTCTGTTGCAAACTCACATCCTTTTATTCTGTTTGCTAAGCTTAATACAGTGTTGCTACTTCCTGATTTATTTCTTCTGTTTAATATTAGTGTTAAATTATTTTACCCAGCAGTGCATTTTTTTTTGTATGAGATGTTTGGAGTGAAGAAGCTGGAAAAACTGAAAGCAAACTGTTGTAAAATCCATGCCTGAAATTCTTGGGTAATGAATGCAGAATATTGACTCTCGTGTTATTACAGTTGAATATTTAAGTGGTTTTATATACATAGACAGATAAATTACTGTTATGTACTATGTATAATACACATGAGCTGTGTGCATGATATGCACTACTTCCTGTGTGTAACTGTTGTAAATTATATCTGATCCTCTTTGTGTTATGCTATTTTTTATCTAATTCTTATTTCTCTAGATACCTGAGGATTATTTGATAGATTAGCTGTGTTTATGTTGTTTCAGTCATTCACTTCTTTTTTTCCTTTTCTTTTTTTTCCTTCTTTTCAAGAAGTCATTTCCTACTTAAGTCAAAGCAGATCTCAACTTCTGCACATTCACAGTTTTGGTCTTTACTACGCTGGTTTGCACTGCAGTCAAAAGGCAGTGAGGAACTACCTTGGAGCGGTGGGATATAGCATGTTAATTAGTATTGTATTAGGACATTATTGTTATTAAATATTCAGATGTTTCCCTTCTCCTGCCTGTTATTGTTTGTAAAACAGAAATTATGGAAAAAATAGTACTTTTGTATCTTATTTTCCTACAGGATTTACAAATAATCAGTACAGATGAAAACCAAGTTTTTGTGGCTGTTCAGGAGTGGTACCAGACAGACACGTACAACCTGTACCAGTCTGACCCACAAGGTGTTTACTACTCTATCCTGCTGGAGAACGTCCGGAGCACGAAGCAGCCAGAAGAGAATGTCCTGATAGATATCCTGGAGGTTAGATCTTTACCTCTTCCATTGTGTATAGTCTATCTGAAGGAGTTTTTTATTAACATTTTGATTATTATTATAATTAATTTTCACAGTTATATTTAATGTAAAAAGTCTAGGATTTTTGGATTTTTTTTTTTTTCTTGTTGTTAACACATCATTACTACTTACATGTTTCCCTCTTAACCTAACGATGTGCTGTGTACTCTAAGAACTAGATTCTTGGGATGAGATTCCATAGATGTGCAAGTCCAAATTGGTTTTTTTTAAAGATAATTGAAAAGTGAAGACAGCAGCACAATTTGTTATTGAAGTCAGAAGTTATGCAGCTACCTGTGTACACCTTTTTTTCTTTTATGTGACTCAGTGATGCATTGCCTGGTTTAGAGCAGGACATCCTTTAGCCAGTAGGGTTTTACACAGTAATCCTGTGAGCCTTGTGCTAGGTTGTGTCAGCTCTGAAAGGCGGAGAACCAACAAAATTAGATATTGGGCAGCAAATCCACTTGCTTTCAGTAGATGTCTTGTGCCAACAGCATTTTCTGTGAGACAAACTCTTCTGTAAACAAATTTATCTTGTATTTTAACATCAGTGCACTTGGCAAAAATAAAAGACTAAAGAATATAGTGTTTTGGAAGAGTACCACAGACTGTTATCAACTCCATTCCTGCTGATAGAATGGAATTTCAGTGTAATGTATTTCAATGTAATAGGGTGTACATTTGCTCTGGTTCTGTTCTTTTGTGTAGCACATAGTACTGGCTGTAATCAGAATATTAAACTAGTGGAGCTTTGGTCTGACCCAGTTTGTCCCTCATTACACTTTAATCTGCCTGGTGTTAATATAAAAACAAAACAAAACAAAAACCCCAATGACCAAAGTTTTTTGGCAAAAGTTTGTAGTAATTCAGGATATAAGGCACACACTGACAGAGCCGTTAAATAGCTGTAATTAGACTCTTCTTGGTGAGGGAAAATGATAGTGATTTTTTCCTCCTTATCTCCTCCATCTTTCTTTCACTTTTTGTTTCTAAATATCTGTAGTAAAACTAACAGGTTTTTCATTACCAATGATTATTTTCTAGGCTCTACCTTTTTTAGAAATGAGGCTTCCTAATGAATGAAGCTACACACGGTGTGTAGTCACATTCCCACAGAGTGATTTATTGACAGCATTAGTTTGCAGCCTTTTACTCCTGCTCACTCCTGTGGGATGCAAAGCTAAAAGGCAGCCAGGTGCAATCTCTACTCCTTGCATCACCTGTAGCATGCAATTTCAGATAAGTTGTACAGAGATGCTCCCCCTGGCTACCCTTTTGTCTACAAAAGTTATTAACTTAATGCAGTTACACTGATTATTTAATAATTTCCAAATGTTACTGAGGGCATATTAGATAATGTGATCCTAGATTATTGTGTATGCTGGATCAATTTGTAGGGCTACATTAAAAAGAAAATTTACACATGAGAAAGAGTAATTGAAGGAGCCACAATGAAGCCACACAATTCAATTTTTTTGAGCTGTTTTTGAAATAGAGCCGCAGTATAGGAGAACACTTTTATTTGCTTGCGGTAAGAAAGCCCACAGCTTTCAGATAGCTTGTATGATAAATAATTAGTGTTCATCTTGTTTACTAGAATGTGATCAAGTGCTCATGATGTATGGGTTATTTACCCAGTATAAAATGGCTAATAAATAGAACTCATATTGCAATCCTTGAGGATGGGATATTTTTTGGTCTAACCTGGGTTTTCTTTCTGGGCATTTTAATGCAACTATCCTGTCTTGGGAAGAGGAATCTTCAGTGCAGAACAGAAACTGTCCTCAATGGCTGACAATTTCTCTTTCCACCAGTGTATAATTCTCCTTAAAATTTGCACTGTTCATCTTCGTTATCCTCTGCTGACCCCACTTCATCTTTTACTTGTACATCTGCTATAAAATCTTTAATAGGTGTCTGCCTCTCTGTATTCATTTTCTTTTATATGCTTTATCTTTTTTTGCACTGTATTTCTTTTCATGTTGCATGTGTGAAAGGGAAATAATTCCCAAATACTTAATCAAAAAAAAGTTAAGTATTAATTGACTGACCAAAAGGAGCATGCCCTTGAAATATGTGACTGTATACAAGGAGCATGTCCTTGAAATTATATCTAGTGTTGCCAGTGTGAACCAGCCACAAATTTGCAGAGTGGGCATACTGATGTATACTTCTAGATTTGTTCTTGCTGTGACTCCTCATATAGATAAGAGCTACACAAGTTGCAGTAGACATTCTTCATGCCTTTTTTCCCCAAACAACAAATCATATGTATTTAAATTTTAATCACAAACATGTATTATATAGCAGTAATTTCTGCATTTCAGTAACTGCTGCTAATAAACACTGTGGGGCCATCTGAACTGTTCTTCTTGCTACCAGCTAGTACAGAATATTGTTTGACTGTAAAATCAGAAATGTAACAATCAGCGATTAATGTGTCACAGCAGAAAACCTACTCAGAAAATAGGTTTATAAGGCGTTGTAGAAAATAGGTGCTCTGAAAGTTAACCTAAAAGTCCAAAGAAAATCAATGGAAAGGTGCTTTTGAATTTCCTTGTGATTTATCTGTCTTGAGTAGCTGCTGGAGTGTTCATCAGAGTAACTGAGCACTGCACAATGTTGAAATGTCTTCTTTTCCATTCCATCTTATTGTTAATATGAATCTTTTCCCTTCTTCATAGGAAGACACTAATCTCCCAATTTTAGGTTAGGGAACTGAGTCAAGGAGTAAAAAGTACAGAAGAAATTGGGTGCATTGGGATCACAATCTAATGCAGAAGGTAGATCTGACATAAAGGATTTACAATATTTACAGAAAGAGTCAGGTGTGTATTTGCATAGGCCACAGGACAAATGAAATAGAAAATGCTGCAGCAGAAGTGAGGTGTTTTAAAGCTGCCATTTTTTACATGCTATAATTTTATATTAGTTATTGGTTTTTAGGCTAATGCACCACTCTGAACATCATACTTCTGAACTTACTCGGAAAATAGATGCCTGAAACCTATTTATTATTTCAAGCAGAGCTTTTGCCTTTCGTTCAAAATACAACTCCTGTGAAGTGCTGGTCAGCTTTTATCTCTTAAAACAGCAGTGAGAGAAGTTAACTGAGACACTAGAAGAAATGTTTTCATAACCTTTCAATGTTTGATAGATTCAAACACTTATGTCCCATATTCTAGAGAGGAGAAGTTACCCTAGAGCTTGGTTAGATTAGAGATGAGAGTGGGAATGGAGAAAAATTTTAGCCTGACTCCCATTTGATGATTACATTGAATGATTAAATATTCATTAAACAAGAATGAGGGGGAAAAAGAGAGAGAGGAAACAAAAATATTCATGATGCAGCACTGTTTTTGCCATCCACAAATGAAGAGAGAAACCTCAGATGCAGTCCCTGACCTAATTATTGTTTAAATATTTAATATTGTGTTCACTGGAAGAAAGACACACATAGAAATTTTACCCCAAGTCTGCCTTCCCCTGTAAATGTTTGAACTGCCAGGCTTTTCATGGCTGTGCTGTTTCTCAAAGGTAGGATATGTAAAAAAGCCCCAGCAAGATGAAAATGCCTTTAAAGTGAGGAAAGCAGGTTCCTCGTTTCTTCCCTTCCTTTCCTTTTTCACCTGCACTGCTAAGTAGTTGACTTATATGGTGTGTTTGACTTGGAAGTAGTTCTGAGCTTCCAGCATCGTGGATAAGTAAGCCAACCACACATGCATGGGGTTTAAGGAAGAAGGAGATCATGAGAGAGCAGGGTATTAAAATGACTATGCAAAATTTTGTTGTATAAACTTAAATATTTTTCCATGTTCTATGCTGTCACAATAACCAGCAGAATATTTTTATTCTCTAGGTTTGGGTCAGTTCCAATATTTATAAACAGTGAGTATCAAATCTGTAGCCTAATAGTAGGGATGCCTTATCTTCACCCTGAATGTAGACTTCTGTTAAGTGGAGTTAATAACTGGTAGTTAGAAAAAAAGAGACAGTAAATATTTCAAATAAAAAATTAAAGTTCAAGAATGCATCATGTCATCAAGAGACAAATATTCCTGATCATTCAAAGAGCTGGCTATCCTGTGCATTTATTTGTAATGAATGCTTTGGTTTTGTGAAGTGTCAGCACCCAAGGAGATTAGCAAGCTCTGCTGTGCTGGAAATGGTATATGAATTGATATACATTTCCAGAATTTTTTAAAAATTCAAGAGATTTAATAAGTAATCACAAGGGAAATAAGAGCACTCTTAAGGAAACCTTCAATTTTAATACAAGATCTTATCTCATGCCCTTGGGTGGAATATATGTGTAATATGTTAATAAAATAAATGTTAGGGCTAGAACTAAACATATTAAGGTGCAATTACTGTCAGGTTGATTCTAAAAATTATCCCCATTAACTTTGACACTTTGAGTTGTAATAATTTTCTGATACAGGCTGTTTTGTAATAAAATAACAGCCCAAGGGAAGAGTGAGTCTGTAAACCTTTTTTTTTTTAACTTCTTTTTTAATTCAATGTTATTTTAAAGGATGTTTTGTTGTAACCTATTTGTGTGCTATTCACATGATGTGGGTCACTGACTTCAGTGTTAAAGTCAGGTGTCTACATCATTTGTAGAATAGCATTTTAGAGATGTCCATATTTCAAAAAAAATGCAGAGCTGTAATTTTAACAGTAAGGCCATGGTATGGTAATTTTTGTATTTTGCTGTATAAACTACATGTAATTTGATTAGCCTTCTGACGTTGAGAGAATTGCATATACTTTTTTAATAGACTTAGAAATACAAATCAGTTTGTAACTGTCCTCCCTGTCTCCCTTTCTCCCTTTCCTCTTGTCTTTTTGCCTTCCTTCTGTATTTTTAAGGTTTCATTAGCTTTCTATTCAGTTTCCAGGAGAAACTACCTGAGATACAGCTCAGAGCCACAAAAGAGCAACTAATCAGGGATAATCCTTGTTGAAAAAATGTGTATGTGCTGGATATTAACTTCTCTCCTGTATGCTTCAGGTCAGAGGTGTAAAAGGAGTCTTTCTGGCCAACCAGAAAATTAATGGGAAAGTTACGACTCTGATAACCTACAACAAAGGCCGTGACTGGGATTTTCTAAACCCTCCAGACATTGATATGAATGGCAAACCAACAAACTGCAAACCTGTAAGTGGTTCTTTTTTGTCTATCCTCTCTATAAAGTGCACAAGAATTATCTGTATGGTGGGATGTGCAATAGTTCCAACGGCCCGAGAGCTTTATACTGAGTTTATCAGCCAAACTAGAAGACAAATCTACTTGTATTGCATGAGCTATGGTTTCACAGGCTGTTAGTCCAGTCATCTTGTAGAGTGAGTAGTCGGGGCTCTCTGTTGCACTGCATTTCGTATTTTAGGTCACTTTGACACAAAGAGGACTTTTTTTTTTGTGTCAACCACACAACCCAGTTCAGAATAATCATGACAACAGTCATTTGTGTCTGGATATAAGGATGACATAATGAGTTAAATAGAGTTTATCAATAATTTTTCTCTTTTCATCTTTCATATTTTTTTTCGTATTAAATCAAGGTTCCCTCTTAAAGGGAACTTCTTACGGTTGCTTGAAAATAAATACCACAGTAACCTGCACGAAAAAGTCCTTTCTTTTTGTAAGACAATGTTATTTCTGTTTGTTTAGATGTCCTAGTTACCCATAGTGTTTTGTTATTTGCAAGGCTGTACTGAAAACCTTGTATTTTTCTCACTGACTCTCTGCTCCTGAGTACTCAAAACTCTGCATTGGTGGGCAAAATAAATGCTTGTGGTCCTGCCTCTGCCAGAGCTTTGTTCCCTCTCCACGTAGCAGAAATGGAAGGCTAGAGCTGCCAGTTCCTATTTGAAGAGTTCAAGACTGTGCTACAAGGTTCAAGTCTGCAGGGCTTGATCCAGATCATTTTGAGATGAGTGGAAAGATTGCAGTGGCAGTGGTTCCCAGGCGGTGCTGGCAGCCCGCTCCTGGTAAAGCTCATGGCTGGAATTGCTGTGAACAATATGACCTTCTAGTGCCACCGCACAAAGGGCAAGAAACAGTAAGTTTTACCAGTTACCTGGGACAAACAAACATGCAGTATTTGTTGCTGTTAGTTAGTTAGCATTTTTAAGCAATTATTCTGTCAGAAGGGAGTTTTATACAATAATTTCACACTGACTTCTTCGAGTATGGAAATCTTTTTGTTGAAACAATGGCACACTACACAGACATCATCAGAGATTCTTGTTGGAAAGTGAAGGTTGATATTTCAGACTGGAATTTGGCACCACGGGAAACAGCCATTCTTTTTCTCTGTGAAGACAAACATTGCTGAAGCTGCTCTCTCTCTGGGCTTTCATTATTGTAAGAGCATAACTGTTAGCCATTATTTGTAAAACCTGTTGTCTTCTTCTTCCCTCAAAAGCCTGATTGCTATCTTCACCTCCATCTCCGGTGGGCAGACAATCCCTATGTGTCGGGAACAGTCCACACGAAGGACACCGCACCAGGGCTCATAATGGGGGCAGGTAACTACATGACATTGTATTTTAAAACCTGAAATGTGGTGGTGGCTCTTTGTAGAACTTTTGGTTTATAAGAATATGATGCTATGAACGTTGCCAAAATAAGGCTTTCCTGCAGAATAATCTTTTAGGGAATCTCTTGATTGAACAATTAAATAAAACTTAATTGAAGGCCCAGAGCTGTATCTTTTCAGACAGATCTATAACAAGTTCCTGGATACATTATGCTTTGCTGTGCTGCATAGTACCTCCTTCCCTATTAGTACAATGTGGAAGTGTGATGGTGGCTGAAGGACGTATCCTGAATTCTTTTTCTCTGGAAGTGACGTGCAAGGCCTCCAGCATCATGATTTGTCCAGCAAAACTGATGTAAATGCTGGCCAAACCTTTGTTTTTAAGCCTAGATACAGATAATTTCTCTTGTAATTTTTATTAGTTCCTTTCTGTCTAAAGAGAGATAAATTGAAAGAGACCTATGTGTCTCTGTGTTGGGAACAATGCTAGTTGTGGTTTCTCTGTTATAACATACATATGGAGTCATGTCACTCTGAAATGGCATCTAATGAAATAAATTCCATTGCAGTGTTAAGCTCATCAAGAATAATATTCGCATAACTCTGTTTTACTTTGTACCCTTGTGATCCCTCTATTAATTTTATTTAATCTTCTGTTTCTTTGTTTCAAAATTATCAAATCATTAACTTTTCTAAGTGCTTTTTTAAATTACATTATTTTATTCTTGTGTTATGGATTATGTTTAGGTGGAATGCCACATTCTCTTTTCATAAAAGTATATCTGTTTTTAATGAATAATGGCTTCTGGTTTAGCTTACCCTTGTCTCTTTTGAAGAGTTTATTACATTGAAAATTTCCTGAGAATATCAAGGTGAGCATATTTGGTGTTTAAAGAGAATGACAGCTACCAGTACTTCCATGTAACTGAAGATTTCAAGTTTCTCCGTAGTGTAAAGGGAGTTTAAAGTATTTTACTGGAGACAGACCTACCTGGTGAAATGCTGCTATGTTGTTATTGATACAAATGAGACTAAGAATTTATACAGTGCCCTTGTAGATAGATTTCTAATATGTGTTCAGTTCACATTTTATGAATTCAAATGTTTCAAAAAATAACATCCATTTCAAATCTCTTCTTTTTACATAAAGATACTCCAAAAGTAGGTTCTTAATTTTAGCCCCATCGTATTGTGCCTAAATGCTTTCCAGTAGCAAATAAGGCAATGAGATTTAATTAGCTAGTCTGTTACTCCTGTTTTGTTTTTCTTTCTTCTTGCACTGTAATCTGATGTGTTGAACTGATCTTTTGATGGGGATTTGTAGAGGTTTTTTAAGTCCACTCTTCTCTGAGACAGTATTAGGGAGGGCAGGTTGTAGAAGGATATTTTGCCCTTAACTCCCTTCTCAAACGGGGTGAGATTTTATTGCTGTCTGTCTCTTACTGTGCCAGGTAGGTAAACTTGTCAACAGTTTTCCTCCATGTGATCATGAGGGAGTGTTTTTGATAACATCCAAATATCATTAGGAACTGAACTAATATGTTAAATCTGACTTGGTTGCAAAGCAACCTATAGTGTAATGGGAATAGCACAGCAGCTGGCTAAAAACCCGGGATGGATGGCGTGAAACTGGGAAACATTTGCCTGAGAGTAGTGTATCCTTTTTCTTGTAGGTTGTGTAACTGCAAACAGAGAGAAGGGACTTCTTTTGTAGCCTTAAAAATTTTATAGAGCAACTGCATCCCCTTGCCAACAGATGACCTGAATCAACTCTGATTTTGACTTGCATTTACATTATTTGGATGCTCAGGTCATCTGGATTCAGTTCATATGTTCAGTCTTACCTGGCAAACCTGATATCCTTGTAAACTTGCACTTCTTATCAGAAATACTTTACATACAGTGAGCTTGAATTTCCTTTGGCCTGACCCTTGAAACTGATACTCCTGTGCAAATCAACACAAGTACTGTGTTCTTAGCACATACAGAAATCAGATTATTTGGGCCACAACACATATTATTGGAATTTTAATGTTAGATTTAGAGAGAGCACATCTCTGGAAATGACTGAAGGTGATAAAGATCTGTGAATGTCTGCTGATCACACTATGTCTAGGAACCATCAGTGCCTTGTGCTGAAAAAAGAGAAATCTATTGTGAGGGTGAAGTAGGTAAATAATTGCCAACAGAGAGATGAAAATACTAATACTCTGTCAAAATATTGTACAGTGACCTTATTAATAAGAATGTGTACAATTCTGATAATCAATTTTCAGGACCAGTGAGCAGGTGCTAAGAAGGCCTACTTGGCAGTTGATGGAAATAGAGAATATTTACAAGAACCCCATTAGCTGAGAAAAATAAAGGACAATAAAGAATATGGTTTTTTTTCCTGAAAGTGTTACCATGGGGTAGAAACAAGTAATGCAAACAAGTGGATACAAGCTAGAAATATGGATTCTAACCATGAGAACCATGAGGTTCATGGTCTCAATTACAGCAGTGTGGCTAACAATCAAAAATAAAAAAAAAATTCCTTTAACATGGAGTTTGGCTTTTTTGTAGAAAGCAAATACAGCACAACTGCTTGTGGTAATGGAAAAGCTAACCTGTGACTTAAGGACAGTTTTGATACTGTGCTTCAAAATCAGAGCTCAGAGACTACTGAATATTGTTTAATTAAAAAAAAAATTAAATGGTGAACAGCATTAACACCTAGAGCATTTGCGAAAATACAGTAATAGGATTTTAAAATTACATCTTTTTAAACTCATATTTACAAATAAAAATTCTACTCTATTACAGTTGAATAAGTAGTTCTCAGGAATGCATATTTTTAGCTTATGTATATAGATAAATTGTGCAGACAGAATATTAAATTTTATAGCTGTATACAAAAGTGTGCTTCTAAATAACCACTTTGCTCTCTTTAAGAAATGTAATAGGAGTTTACATTTACAATTTGATCATGCATCTTAATATTGGCAACAACTTCTATTTCTCACAGCATCAGCTATGAAATGTGTGTCAATTCATGTGCAAATTTTTACTATAAACTTGCAAAAGACTTTTCTATGAAAAATGTTTAGAGAAGGATAGCTTTTTCAGGTACTAGTTTACAATAATTACCTGTTTAGCTTCCAATCCGGATGGCAAATCAAGCAAGGAGTAAATTCTGCACATTCACAGAAATTGAGGAAGTGTTAGAAAAGTTCTGTTTACTTTTTGTTATGTCAGGCTCAAATACACAGCACACATTGTGATGAATTTCTATCATCTTTCACTAAAGTAGTATACTGGGATGCCTCTATAAAAAAGGATGAGGGAACAGGGAGATGATTGAGCATTTCCCAGTGCATTTTGTCGTGAATGTCCTGCAATTCCTTTGAATTTTTCTCACATCAACGTGTTCCTCAGTTCTGATTCCCCACTTCCTCAGCTGAACACATCTTCAGCTTGCCAGGCAAAAACTATCTGTCTGGGACATTTAAATACAAATTGGTTGTATATTTGTTCTACACTGTGACTACAAGCTTACAAACCATGAAATTTTAGCTTATTGTGCATTGCCTGAAGGAATGTTATGACTGTATTAATTACCAATAATCCAGGCAAGGCACATGTCTCTTTTTGGAGTTGGTAGGTCTGCATGTATGCTAAATTTAAGTGACTGGAAAAGATTTTCCATATTAGAAGGATTATCTAGGTGTTGCATATGGGGATTATTTCTTCTTGCAGTAAGCATGTCTAAAGTCACATATAAAAATATGGGTAAACACAGTAAGTAGCACTTAAAACATGCAAATTAATGGTAAATTGTAAATGAAAGTAATCTCCTATATTTCACAGAATCACAGAATCACAGAATATGCTGAGTTGGAAGGGACCCACAAGGATCATTGAGTCCAACTCTGAACCCTGCACTGGACCATCCCCAAGTGTCACACCATGTGCTTGAGAGTATCATCCAAATGCTTCTTGAACTCTGTCAGGCTTGGTGCTGTGACCACTGCCCTGGGGAGCCTGTTCCAGTCCCAACCACCCCCTGGCCGAAGAACCTCTTTCTAATATCCAATCTAAATCTCATCTGACACAACTTCAGGCCATTTCCTTGGGTCCTGTCACTGGACGCAGTAGGAACCTTCCAAAATGCCTGAGCAAAGATTTTTAATTACCCTCTTGAAATCTCTATGTTTTTCACAGCTATACCACCTTTCTAGAGAGCTTGGCTGGACATGAGTCATCACTAAAATACATTGCTTTCTTTCACATCCCCGTGCTAAATTGTCATGTGCAAAGTCTCAGACAGCTTGGAGTACTATGTTAAACAGTAGCTAATGCCTCTGTGTTCTGGTTTTTGGGACTGCCACCCTTGCAAGGATGGAACGTGTGATTTTACCCAGTTACTTCAAATCAGCCTTCACTCAGGAGGAGTAAAAAGAAAAAGAATTTCCTGTATCCCAAAGAAAGGTTTGAAAAGATTTATAAGAATGCAAGTAACAGAAATGAAAAATGACCACCCTTAATAAAAAACTCAAAAATGCAGGCCATTTCCTTTTGGTTCCTGAATAGAAGCAGCAAGATGTCTGAGCATAACAACAGCAGTCATACTGACTCAGGCCAAGAATCTATGTAACACAGTATCGTGGCTGTGTTGGTGAGAAAAGTGTTTAAGGACAATTCAGGTGTAAATGGTCCCCCAGGCCTTGGTTTGGAGAAGACACACACATGAGAGTCTTCTTTCCTGCCCCTGTCATTTAGTTACAAAAAGAATATAAAATAGTATGAGACAAACTTGAGAAGCTTCCGTATTACAAATAAAACTTGATGAAACTGGATGGGAAATACTCTGTCATGTGTCAGAGGAGTTTTCAGGTCATTTAAATCAAAAGTGATGTTAAAAAGATACCTTTTATAGCTCTGGCTAATACAACCTTTTCATGGTTTAAGCCCAGCTGGCAACTAAGCACCACACAAGCTCACTCCCCC